TCCACTTAACTGAAAAATTCATAAACAAAATGACGAGTAGGAAAAAAAATTCTAGGTTGGAAAAAAATCTTTAATTAAGGTTTGTCTGTGTTTTGTTCTTTTAATAAGGGAATTTTGATCTACATCATCAATATCTGACAATTTGAATTCTTGATTGTCTTGCAGAAACATCGATGGTGATATTGGTTTTATAGTTTCTCTTTCAGTGACGTAAGTAAATGGTTTTGCACAGATGACGATTTCACAATCAGCAAAAACAGTTAACACTTCATAACTTCCAGCTAGCTCTTGCTAGCACTCTTTTTAGCACATCTTTCAAACTTTCGATGTGGCGCTCCCACCAACCATTCCACTATGAAGCAGTTGGAGGGTTGAACTTCAATTCAATAGAGTTTTCATTCTCTCCTTGCCCTTGCACATAACTCCAATCTAGTTGTTTCAGTGCATTGGCTGGTCCTCCAAAATTTGTACCGTTATCACATTAAACAGTAGAGCATCTTTCTCTGCGTGATACGAATTTTCGAAACACCATCAAGAATGCTGTTGTCGAAACGGCAGTGACATGCTCAAAATACACCACTCGATTTACAGCGCGAGTAAATATTATTACCCAACTCTTCTTATTTTCTTTGAGAAAGAGCGGGCTAGCCATATCAATCCCTGTAATCTGAAAAATCGATTTATTTTTTACTCGGTTTTCTGAAAGTGGAGGAGCAATCATATCTAGATTCTTGGAGCTCAACCTCTTACAGGTAAGGCAGTACGTCAAGACTTGCATATTTTTAAGGTTTGCAGAGTTTTTTTCCCCATATAAAATCCAATACTTTTCTCTTAAAATGTTCAAAAGCACCTCTGCAAGACAATTTTTCTCATTTATATAGATTATCAATCCTTTAATAACTTAAGGCAATATTTCTTCCAAGCCCTATGGAATTTTATCATACGACTACATATAGGAAAATTTATACATTGACAGGGATCGTTAAATTATAGTAAGTTCTTTTCCTTTGGGAGCTTTTCACAAGAATGACTATAATAAGACAAATTAAGAAAACGAAATCGAATAATAAATTAGATAAAACGAAAAGAGATAGCGGTTCACTGTTTCGTTTCTTTTGGTTAGGAGACCTGGTATTTATTCTTGATAAGTTTCAAGAATGTCGGACAGATGGCGCCAGTAACTAACGAAAACTATAAACCAATGCTTGCAAAATAACTATCTGTGCCATCAAAAAAGTGGTATAGTCTATACGAACAAAATTAACAGTCTCAGTACAAATATTACAGGTAGAATGGTCTGAAGATTAAAACGCTTTTCTAAAATTAATTTTCTTGACAAGAGCGCCATCTTTTGCCGAACTTTGCTACGTGTTTTGAAATTTAATTCGCATTTCGTTTCCAAAGCAGAGTTTTAAATAGTATATATTTCTTGATAACTGTTTTTATTAAATGGATTTTTTCAAATTGTTAATCATTTCTGGGACTCTCAACCGATAAAAAAAAAAAAAACATTTATAGAAAATTAGTGAGTGAGTCTGGAGGCATCCATTGTTTAGATTTCTATTCGTAAGGATTCAAGATTATTGACGATATTATGATTTTAAATAAAAGGTGATTCAAGATGTGCTTGTGCAATGGGTTGAAATATTTTCTAAGCGATTTCTACATGTATGGAATTCTGCTCTTTATGTCATAAATATATTGAGAGTACAAATTTGCTCGGTTCGTTTTTAAGAGATGGCTCTGCTATTATGAATGTTTCATAGTGACCACTGGTTTCGGTGGTTTCAGAGAGGTTAAGCATCTGTCAATAATATTCAGTTTATATCAATTTGAGTTTCATACAGAAACCCTGTTTTTTAATTTGTTGAGTATGTCACGTTTTGGGGTAACGAAGCACCATTTGCGGGAGGTTTTATGTTTCTTCTTTAATTGGAAGAAAAGTGCAGCTGAAGTGCTACGAATTCTTGTAAAAGTTTGTGGTGACAATGCTCCAACTGATAAATCATGTAGGGAATGGTTTCGACGTTTCAAGAATGGTGAATAGTTTTGTATACTATGAGCTGCTACCACCTGGTGATTCCATTACGGGTGATCGGTATAGGCTGCAATTGATTCGTTTGAGCCGTGCATTACGAGAAAAACTGCCGGAATACGAGTAAAAACATGACAAAGTTATTCTTAACCTAATGTCGCAAAAGTCGTAAAAAATTATTTGGAAACGCCCAAGTGGGATACTTTTACCTCAGCCGCTGTATTTGCTGGGCATTGCTCCTTCTGATTACTGGTTGTTCAGACGGATGCAGCACGATTTGGTAGGTCACCAGTTTATTTCTTTCGCAGAAATCGAAAATTGACTCCTAACTTGAATCGCCTCAAAAGACGAGACATTTTTTCTAGGTGGAATTCGAAAATTGCCTGAGAGGTGAGAAAAAGTAGTAGCCAACGATGGACAATACTTTTGATTAATCTGTTCATTCATTTTGTTCTGAAATAAATGCATTTCTGATCACAAAAAAACGGACCGAACTAATTTGTACACCCAATATGATTCCTTTTACAGTTCGAGCTGTGACTTCTAAAGCAACTCTTGTCTCTCTGCGTATTAATTCCATTAATTTTCATCCCATACATTCCTTCACACTAATAATTTATATTACTTATAATCAAGGTTAGTTAAATGAACCTGCAAGTTCTGAGCTTGAAATGCTCTAATGCTGAAATTGAAAACTTCAGTGTTTGACTGTAATTCTAAAACTGATAATAACTGTAATTCAGAAAACTACTCTCATTTTCTTAAAATTAAAAGTTTCCGAAGTTACTAGAGTTCAGCGCTATGGTGCAACAATTCCCTACATTTATTCAAAGTTCATCTTTTGTCTCCGCCATCTCTTTGTTTCTAAGAGTTACGTTTAACTCAAAACGCTTCGCTAATCGATTTTGGAGTAGAGCTTTGGAACTCCATTTTGAGAATAGAATACAGAGATAATGAATAGGATTTTCAGCTTATTTATTTGATAAATGGTTTGGATAATGCTTGTGTAAAATAGTTCGTGAGTGAATTTCAGTTCGTTAAAACAAGTTCTATTCTTATCTTGTTACTAGAATAAAGATTTCTCGATTCTATTACATTAAGTACAATGCATGAGAGAAACTGAACTCTGAAATAAATACTCATAGAAATTTCCCTCGGGACTTTATCCACTCACTGCACAAGCAAATCAAAACAATCGAAATTGCGTGCGAAAAAGAATTTCTGATGCGGAATTTATAAAAATAGAAACTATTTGTCAGATAGATCCATATAAACACAAACCTAACCGTTTTTAAATCAAATTTTGCTTCTTATATATTTTGTTACAAAAGTACAAAAAAAGTCATAATTACGATGGGAAACAAAATTCTGTGACGAAATTTTGAACCCAATCCAGAAGACAAGGGAATTCCTGGATCAAGCATTGTGAGGAATTTACTTTCGTTGAGGTGCTTATACTAACCTGCATTAGTGTTTGATGAAGAGGGAAAACACGAAAACCTTTTACGGTTAACCCATGATCTGCCTATCACTGAGGATATTTCACGTCAGTTGGAGAATCAGCGTGAGCTAGGTGCGAATTTCGTATAGACCAACCATCACTGGGACTCGAGTGCACGTCACCTGATTTTGAGGCGAGTGTTCTCGATTCCCTGAGTCACCAAGGCTCTTAATAAAGCACAGAAACATATTAAAAATTAAAACGAGCGTTGAAAATGGGGGAAACTTTAGCTTCTATTACATTTGTAAGTCGTGAAGGTAAAGTGGTTAAAACACTGAGCTGCTATTGTATAAATCCGGGGATCGACCATCGGTGGTGTATTTAAGCCCATTATAGGTACCACACTGATAAAAGGAATTCCGTTAAATTCGAATGGTAATGACAGTTCTGGTACAAAAAGTTTAAAAAAAAACACATAATTGTGGTCAATAAAACTGAAATATATTGTATTTAAGCCTTTCATTTGGTGGTGCAATGCTAATTTTTCCGTTCATGTGGTCTTCCGGAAATTCTGGCTTTCAACATTATAGTTCTTATTGCCACACATTTAGTAAAAAAAATGCAAAAACGGAAAGAAATTTGATCAAATAAATGATTTTCATACATGCTCCAAGGTATCATGATAAGATTACCAAATTTTACCATATATACCAAATTTCATAACATTTTATAAAATCATATTTTAGCGTTAATTTTACCAAAATTATTATCAAAGCGCTTCGGTACAAACCAGCAAGTTTTTTGATGTCCACCTTGAACCAGAAGCAATAGTAAATGTTAACATATTCTGGTAGGTTTGATCATATTTTTTTTCTCCATGCACCTTGCTTGAAAATCAGAGGCGGTTGGTGTGCAATGCTGACAACATTTGTCAACATCAGGTCGTTTGTCTAAAAATTTTGTAGCCTCAACTTGAACAACCTCCATACAGTTAAATACCTGTAGCTGAATTGCATAACTTTAAATAAAATTTTCAAAAGTACTGTTCTATATTTTATTTTGAAAATATTACTTTTTCTTTTTCAAAACTTAACACTTAGGAACAAAATAACTCCATTTTAATTACATGAGTCTGAATTACATGTCTGCAGTTATAATTATTAAATTAGTGCAGATATTTCAAAATAGTAGATCAAAAATTCCATGAAGAAGGAATGAGTTGTAGTACATTCTTTACGCCGGAATCATGTCAAGTTCTTCGCAAAATTATAATTTCACGCATTCTGAAAAACAATGGTCGAACAATTGATATGACAGTACGTTACTATTATAACAGTTATATAATAGTATTAATAACTATTATATGGTAATTAATATAATTTTATATATCAATGACTCAGACAAAACATAAATCCTTTTATTTCCAGTAATGTTACTTTCTTATATTCGGAAATAATGTAATTTAGATAATAAAAGTAAATTAATATGAGTGAAAAAAAAGATATTGATTATGAGATCACCTACCTGAAATATAAAATTTTCATCAAATTTTGGATTGCACGTTTTTTTCTTTATTTTTGATTGGCCATATCTCCTTTCATCGGGAAGAACAAATACTCTAAAATAAAAACAAAGGAACAAAAACTGTTACTTTCTACATTTGATTTAGCTATTATCAATTACGAAACTAGTAAATTGTACAGAGAAGAAAAATGTTCTGGTGAAATTTAGTACTGTATTGTAAGGGGGTTTCTGGAAAAAGAAAACCATGCTACCAGTTAATGAAACCAAAATATACGCTTCATAAATCATTCATTTGGTAATTTGTACGTTCAATTGTACTGTTAAAATTTTCATTCCAAAATTACAGTAAAATAACTGACAGCAGTTTTGGTATCCAGTTAATCATTCTGGTTTAAAATTCTGGTTGCTTAACCGTATTCGGTGAAAGTTAATAAACGGTTTTTCTTATAGTTAACAGTTTGAATACCCTTTTATTTATGGTTATTTGACTGTTTTGTTTGAATATGGTAAAAAAAACAGTTAAATGAAAAGTTGTTTAACCATTTCATTCGACAAATTTCTAACAGTGTGGTAGCTGTTAACAGGAAATTCAGGTATTCAATATCACAATTCTTTTTACTACACATTTAGAAAAAATGCAAAACTGAAGAGCAAATTTAACCGTTTAAATGGTTCTTATGTTATGCTCTAAGGTATCACGATAAAATTACTTAATTTTACCAAACTTAGTAAATTTCATCGCATACTATAAGGCCTTATTTTATTCTTAATTTCACCAGAATCATTACCAGAGCTCTTCAGTAAAAATTACTGAACTTTTTGGTGTTCTCATAGAGCTAGTAACACAGGGAATTTTAACATATTCTGGTGGTTTTAACCACGAATTTTTTTCTATCACATATTATTAAAAAATATTTTAAAGTTAATTTTACCAAAAACATTACCAAAGCGCTTTGGTAAAAATTACAGAGCTTTTTGATGTTTTCATGAAGTCTAAAGCATAATAAATTTTTCCATATTCTAGTAAGTATGATCATAATTCCTTCAGTATAATGTTTCTTCAATAAGTTTAATAAAACAAAGTCCAAATCCTTCTTTCTTATTTCCCTCAAAATTTACCTGCATTGTGCTCTTCGTTCTAAAATCCATGTATATTTCATAAATAAAAAATTTAGTTACTTTCTTAAGCAATATATTTTTTTTCTCGTGATGCAAGCGAGGATTATAAATTTATGTTAATAATTAGTTTCTCTGATGTAGAGTTTTTTTCACATCATAAGCTTCGAGTTAATATATAAAACTTTTTTAACAAAAATTTGTAATCCTTAAATCTTCTGCTGCATATTTATGAGGTTTTAAAGCTTCTTTTAAAAATCATCTTTTATTCTTTCTCTTTATGTTTTGTTCTTTAGAAAAGTAGAATTTTCTTGAGAGACAACAGTTTTTTTATTGCAAATGTCCTCATAAAAAGTTTTCACACCATTTAATTTTTTATTAAAATAGTTTCTAAATGAGAAATTATTTTCATTCAAATACATGACTTGTAGGGATTAAGTAAGCACAAAAGCTTTTTGTTTTAAATTTCTGCTGCTAAAACGCGTGGAAATTATTTTAGAGACAGCTAAATCATTACATTTAAAAAAAAATCGTGTTTCTAAATGATTTTTGTTTTATTTTTCCTCATAAAAGAGTTACTGCTAGTTTTTGATTCATATAGCAAACACATTTTTTAATTGAGCTTTATCTTTAATTTTTTTTTAAATTTTAAAAGCATAACTCTTGAATTTTAAAAAATGAAACAATTGATAGTTTTATTTTTTTGAAACATTATCTTTATGAAAAAACTTAAATAGAATTCCCAAATTTATTTAAAATAAAAACAAAATATACAATTGAAAGAATAATTTTTAAAATTTTTTAAAACACATAGTAAATGCAAAGGAATTTTTATTTTAATAAATTAATTAGAAGCTTTAGTTTTTTATGAAATAAAAGAGCTTTATTTGTTTAGTAAATAATACATAGAATGCATCTGAAATGGTGAGATAAAAAAAGTTTCAGTTTGTTTTCTATTTAAAAATAAACAACGAACTTTTAAGTACAACTGAAATTTTTTAGGGAAAATCTAATTTTTTAGTAATAGTTTGTACTTTGTGTTTAATTTTGATTCTGATTTTAACTTTTAATTAATAGTAAACATTCGGTATTTAAGAATATACTTAAGTTCTAGCAAGAGTTTACAGCTATTAGTGATTTTTTCGTTTGAGTGTTAAGTTTATAGTTAAGCGCAATCATAGTATCTCACAACAACTATATTTAACACGAAATATATGAATCAAGAACATATGAATATGTGCACAAAAAAAAAGAAATAGTGTATGAAAATTTTTTCCTTCATATTTCCAGACTTTGAAATCTATACAGATCTAAATTGTATCTAGTTTTAAATCTGAGATCTAATTGTGAAATAAGATCTAATAATCTGGTAATAAGATCTAATTGTGAAATTTAAGGTTGATTGACGGCTGGATACTTCATGAAATAAAGTCCCATGAAATAAAGTTGCTTTAATTTTGTGCATAACTCATCGCAGAGAAAATTAATGAATACCAAACATGCAAATTATGAAAATCTGTATACAAATGCATATTTACAAATGCATATTTACAAACAGTAACTCAGTTACTGTCCCACCTGGACAGGCAAAAAAAATCGAATAGGTGAAAAAGGAGGGAAAAAAGCGCCTCACCCCACTAAAGCCACTACTGCTAATAGCCAATATATTGATCATGCTTAGATATGACTTGAAAGATATGATGTTTTGTGTCATTTACCAAACTTTGCAGAGAGAGCCGCGGTTAATCAGAAGATAGAGCGTTCCCCTCCCAATGAGACGACCCAGGTTCGAATCCCAACGGTGGCTGGTTAATACAAACTATGCTCCCGGCTGTCACCGACCATAGTGCTGGCGTAAAATATTGGTTGGGTTAGAATCCCCTTGCTGTCGGACTAACTGTGAGGTAGTCTCGTGGTTTCCTCACCTTGTAACGCAAAGGCGGATCTATACCATCAAATAATTCTCCTTCAATTAAAAATAATCGTTTGTCCCAATGCACGATCCATGAGTTAATTTGTCTTCTGGGTTGGGTTCAAAATTACAAGGCTACGGAGTTGAACATTGATAGTCCAGAGTCGTTTTTAAAAAGTGCTTTAAGGTGTTTATTTCCGATTTTCGTTTTTTAAAAAGCCCTTAAAGGTGTTTTTTTCATTGGGTGTTTTTGAAAAGTGCTTAATTTTCCCTTTTTTAAAATTAGATTTTTCCTATACCATGCTGATTTTCGCTACGAATTATGCAAAAAGACACAGTTCACATTGTTCTATTCAACGTTTTCACAATTAATTCAACCCCAATCTATTTCGGCGTATTGTCAGTCCGTAGTGTATGAAAACACCATTCGTTTTACATGATTCAAAATTTCATGATTNCCGAGTTTTAGAAAAAAGTAACGATTTCATTCGATATTTCCGTTACAAATACTTGTACTTTTTCCCTAAAAAAGTAACGAAAGTACAAGTAAAAGTACTAAACTTAAAAAGTAACGAAGTACAAGTAAAAGTACGTACTTTTTACTTGTACCGGCGGTACAAGTAACGAAAGTAAAAGTACTGCCATATATGGTAATGCTGTTCGCCTCCGTGACTTAGGTTCACAGGTGCTCACCCGGTTATGTTAAATAAGCAACACGTCCGGCAACTTACGAGGCGAAGAACGAGAGCCTATCGTTAAAAAAAAGATGTAAACTTATATAACGATTGTTTTTAGACAAGGATGTTAAATGCATATGAAGGGCACCAAGGATGCTTTTAAACAAGGATGTTTAATGTATATAAAGAGCCACAAGGATTCCAGATATATATATTAAGGGCAACAATGATATTATATGTTTATGAAGAGCAATAAGGATGTTTTTAGATATTGATGGTAAATATGCATGAAAAGTAATAAGATTAATAAATGTATACGCAGAGCGACAAGGATGTCTTTAAACAAGGATGTTTAATGTATATAAGGAGTTACAGGGATGCTGAATATACACCAAGAGCAACAAGGTAGATTTTAGACAAGGGTGTTAAATTTATATGAGGAGTAATAAGGATGCTTTTAGACATGGATGATAAATATACATGAAGAATAACAAGAATGATAAATGTATATGAAGAACAACAAGGATGTTTAATGTATATGAAGAGCTACAGGGATGGTAAATATATATCACGAGCAACAAGGGTGCTTTTAGACAAGGATGTTAAATGTATTTGAAGAGCAATAAGGATGATTTTAGACATGAATTCTAAATGCTTGAGAAGAGTAAATAGGATTTCTATTAAGAAAGAAGTTTCAACGGTATCTTTACAAAGAAAATTGAAGAAAACGTTTGAGTATTGGGTGATTGAAAACAAATGGGGATTTACCTAACAAATGGATCACAGCAATTATTGCATCCATAAACTCTGGAAGGTAAATTCTTGACTTTGATAAGAGACACCAACAAGCGTTCACTGGTTGAGTCATATTGCAGACCGATCCATACTCTACCCACGTGACCATCGGGAAAGACAACTTCTTCTTCAGGCTTTTCCACACTGATGCGATACAGCTCTGGATTCAAGCCTCCTAATAAAGTTGGACCTGTAACATGAGGTGCAAGTTATAAGCACAGATGGTGATTAAATGATATAAATGTAATGTTTATGTTTCTACTTCAAAAGTACGGTTTAGAGTTTTAAATCTTTGTGAAATTCCATGATGTTTGTTAAATTTTTTTCTGTATAGTTGTAGCCTTAAAAATTTTCACGAAATTCTTGCAAATTTCCAAAAGTTATTTCTTAAAAAGAAAAAATTAAAAACAAGTTTTAAGTTCAGTTATTTTAAATTTTTGATTTAGAAACAGAAAATATTCTATTTTTAAAAAGAGTGAGTTTTAATATTATTTTTTTACAAATAAAATAGCACTAATTTTATTTGACCTAAATTTTACTCTTAACTTTCAAAGAAGTAAAAGTAATTCTTAAATTAAATACTTTTGATTTCATTAAAAAATGAAGAAAAAAAACATTAAAAAAGGAAGAAGAACGAATTTAAAATTTCACCATCATTTGAAGCTCAATTTGATAAAAGAGAAATATTATCTAATCAGATCTCGTAGTCTAATTTAAATAAAAATACAGTTTGAATAGAAATATAATTTTTTAAAGTTTCGTGCTTGGAATCTTTTTCATCCATTTTTTTGTACAAAAGTCTGAAAACAAATTTTTACTCACACTGTTTATTATAATATATATCAATTTGATGTTATGAGGTAAATTTTAAAGCAGTAATGAATTTTAATGCAAGAAATTTCTAAAAAGTGTATTCAATTTGCTAATGTAGCGTGTAGCAAGCACAGACTGATCTTTAGCTCATAAATTTTTATCAATGTAAAAACAACTATGTGCAAATTAAAAAAAAATGGTTTTTTCATTACCTTCTTAGGTGTATTATATTTTGTGAAGTTTCTAAGACAAATTTATAAATATTTTTTTCTGAATGGTGAAACGATATTTAAAGAGAGTTGAAAATTATTACCATTATACATTTTAAGAAATTCATGTTCTCAAAAAATATTTTACTAAAGAGTTCTATATTAATAAGCTCGAAAGTGTTGACAATGCAAAAAAGAATTCATTTTTGTTTGTTGCAAAATAAAAATGCAAATAAAACTTATTCTGGCCCCATTTTCGTTATTTTTTAAGCAATATTGCTACGATTAATATTTCATATCTCATGCCTAAAACACGTTCTTATAAAATGAATAATTTAGAACGTTCGCGACAAACAGTTTTTCTATAAGAAATTTTTTAAGATCAACTAGTTAGAAGTATCTGAAAGAATAAATTACGTCATTAAATATTTATGAACAGCAATGAGAAGATGCAAAAAGGAGTTTCAAACCAAATGAGAATTTTTATGTCAGAAAATCAATTTTGTGTATAATGAAGACTTAAAATATCGACAACAGTGACAGCAGTATTGAAAGGAACAGAAGTTTGATCGTAAGAAAAATACATTTTAGTCCTTTTAAAGTAATCCAATTAGCACATATAGCGATTTTCACAAAATTACCAATTACGTTTTAGAAATAGTTTTATTCCTTCTAAAATGTCCTTGCATACAGTTTTAAAAATGTTTTAGTAAAGTAATGTTTGAAATATAATATTTTAATAGCAAATAAAACGATTTTGCGATTTTCAAAAATCGTTTGCATCTTATGTTCCAGAGACGTAAATGATAGGTTTTATTTAATGTTACAAAAAGTCATATTTTATGTTTCACGATATAGGTTACAATATTAGTCATGACTAAATAAAAAACATTTCTGGAAAGTCTTAGAAATAGCTTTATTTAAAAAAAATTGATAAGAATTACGTATTTTAAGATATGTTTCTAATGTAATTTTTTAAATACATTACGGTGACTTAAATGCTTTAGGGATATTTTAGGCTATTTTTTTCAGTAACGTAAAATTATTTTTCTAGTTTTTACAAAAATAATAAATATAATAAAAAAATTACTCGAAAAAGAAATATAAAAAAATAATGAATGAATATATGCGTGAAATATTCATCTTATAATTGTTGAATATTTTCATTTACACGATATTTTCGAGTATTCATTTGAACAAAAATGTAGCCAATTTTTTTGGACGCATGAAACAAATTGTATTCTATAGAATATTGAACTAACTTGTCAATTATTGAATTAACTTGTCAATTAAAAATAACCAAGGAATCAATTTTAATGTTGAACTATCAAGCGTAATTTTACTTATTGTGTTAAACTTTTAGTCAAATTTAAGTTTTTTATTTATAATAACTGCAAAATAAAGTAATTATTAATAATAATATTATATTTATCTCTTATTAAACAAGTTCGAAATGTCTTAAGAAAGTTAATAGTAATAAATAGGAAGGGATTTCAAAAATACATAATGTAAATATTTACTCATATGTAATAAAATTTCTAAATTAATTTTGAAAACACCATGCTTTTCTTTAAAAATAATTATGAAGCTTGTAAAATAATTGAGCATGATTTGACCATTAATTTTCGTTAAATAATTATAATTCTAACTAAGACTAATAAATTATTAAATAAATTACTAAATTTAATTATTATACTAGCAAATTATATACTAATAAATTGTTAGACTAATAAATTATTATTAATAATTAAATAACTATAGTTCTAACTAAGACTGCCAAGACTAAAAAATTATGCCAAGAAGAATGTAAGCACTACAAGTTATATGTATAAAAAAAAAGGTAAAATAATTCTCAAAAATAGTGAAAAAAATTTAAAGAGAAAGTTTGAATTATAAATTTACTGCAACACACTTTGAAAGCAAATTTACGAAAATTGAATATGTATTTTTTTTAAACTCCTAAATTTATTTAAGTATGAAGAATTTTCTGTTTATTATTAGAAACAGTTGTAAAAGTTTGATTGCAATTTTTTCCCGGAAGTAATTTATTCTCGTATAAAATGCATTTTATTGAAATACACAATTTTGATGGCATGATTTTAGTACTTAGTAGAAATTTACCAGACATAATTACATTTAGATTCAAAATTAAGCATTTATGTATTCTTACTTTAATTCAATTTAATAGTTTTATATTAGAATGGATAAATTAATATCAGGATATTAGTTTTTCATTTTTTATGAAATAGATTTAAAAGGTAGTCAGCCATTTAGATGAAATCTATTCAATTTACATCTATATTAAAATTTAGTTTGCAAATTCATTCTTAGTACTCTTGATATAAGTTATATGAGATAGTGTTTATTTTCCTAATTTATTTTAGTTACCCATAGGTATGTATTTTAGGTACTCATAACACCCCAAACATGTCAAAATTTATATAATAAATTCCCAAACAGAAGACTTGATATTGAAATAAAGTCAAAACTAGAAATTGTTTTATCTTTGTGAATGCTTGCTCAAGATCTTACTTTTAAATATCATTAAATTTATTGTATAATCTTTCATAATTTTTTTTTTATGAAGGCTGGCACTACAGTTCATTGTTGTGTAAAGCACGATTGATTTTTCTTTAAACTTCATAAAATTTATCAGCAATGATATACTAAGCTTACGTTGTTAAGTTTTCACCACTTAATGATGCTTTTATTAAAATATTCATTGAATGGCTATTCATTTGTCAGTTTTAAAACCATTTTCATTGTTTTTTTTCACGCTTGTATTATTTTACGAAAGTTGAAAAAAGTAGTTATAACTAAATGATACTTAGTAGAATAACTGTTTTCCAATGTGATATACAATGTTAGAATTATCATTCTGAAATTAATGTAAAATTACTGGCTGCCCATTCAATTAATCGTAAAGTTTACGGTTAGGAATATTTATTTGCTTTTACGGGTTGGAAACTGTTAACAACTGGTATGGTAAAAAAAGTCCTGAGAATGCAAAACCATATGGTTTTGCAACCATATACAACAAGCATGGTTTCGATACCGTAAAAATGAAATTTAAGGATATTGGAGTTAGGTTATTTTAGGCTTTTCCATGGGTATTTGATATAGATAGCGGTTGAGTTGTGTTTTGTGAAGTTAGTTTATCTGCTGGTGCTAGTTATAGTAAGGGATGAGAAATATTATACATTTTTATATTAAGCAGATCTGGGATGCTCTATGCTTGAATGATAGTTTGGTATTCTAATAGTCCGGGGTCATCAATTGAAAAGTGCAGGACACTGTTAAATCTTTATGTGTTAAAACCCTTGTTCAGACAGACATGAGATTTGCAGATTAACCCTCTCAACTAAACTATGTACCCAGTTGTAAGGAATTAAGTGGCTCGATAATGTGCTCCACTTACTTATTACTATAATATTATTAGGCATCCGCTTTTATGTTACGCATCCAACAATAAAAAATAAAAATATGAATACATAATCCTTATCACATGGCTTAGGTCCCTGCTTTCAAAGAGCATCCACCAGATTCTCATCAGCTGTGGGTTTAGTTTGCCCAAATAAAATTCTGGTTGTTGATCAGTAATAGGTGAAAGCAGACAAACGTCTTCTTCACAGTTAAAATCCTGTATATCATTTATGGTTATTTAACTGTTTTGGTTGAATAGGGTAAAATAACAATTAAATAAAATGTAATTTATTTATTTCCGTAAAAATTCAAACAGTGTGTAATTACAAATATAACTGAAATAAAAATTCTTTTATTTTAATTTTTTTAGATGTAATTTTCATGAAGAAATATTTTTTTTACATGATTTTGCAGTGGAAAGATTTTTATGGTCATGCTTAAGGGGAAAATTTTCATAAAAATATATATAAAAAAAATTTAAAATACAGCCTTATATTTTTATTTATGAAGGAACCTATCGTTTATTTGCATTCAATAATTTATTGAGAAAATAATTTACACCTAAAACTAGTTAAACGTTTTTTTTTGTGACTTTTAATATGTACATATTAGACAATTTATAGAAGGATACTTAATCTTTTAATTTCAGAACAGTACCAAAACCTGAAATCTACCTACAGAATTACTACTTCTAAATTAAACGCAGACTAATTATTCACAACAGTTATTTGAAGAAAAATATGGC